TTTAGAGATAGAAGAGCACCATGGCTACAACTAACTTCCAAATGATTCAGAAAATTATATTCACACATTCATACAAACTGAAAGAGAATCATAAAACCTATATGGCAAAATGTTAACATCAGTTAATCTGAGTGAACATATAAAAATGATATACAGGCCGGGTGCGATGGCTCACGCATGTAATCCTAGTACTCTGGGAGGCCGAGGCAGGAGGATCACTCAAGGTCAGGAGTTCAAGACCAGCCTGAGCAAGAGTGAGACCCCATCTCTACTAAAAATAGAAAGAAATTGGCTGGACAACTAAAAATATATATAAAATGTTAGCTGGGCATGGTAGCGCATGCCTGTAGTCCCAGCTACTTAGGAGGCTGAGGTAGTAGGATGGCTTGAGCCCAGGAGTTTGAAGTTGCTGTGAGCTAGGCTGATGCCATGGCACTCTAGCCTGGGCAACAGAGTGAGACTCTGTCTAAAAAAAAAAAAAATGATACACAAATAGCACTTTAAGCATCTTAAATTATTTTATAATAAAAAGCTACCAAAATAAACGAAAAGATTAGCAAATAGGAGGGGGGAATGGATCTATTAGAAATTGTCTTCCAATGATTTTTTGGAGTCTCATTACCACTAACCCTATTAGTAATCAGTTAAAACATCATTTTTCATACATAAAACAGAAAAAAATTAGATAAATATTTTTAAAACCCTGAATAAATATTATTACCAACCTCTTTCGAATTCTAGCATTAAATAGTGGTGCCTCGAAACGTGGATTTGTACCAACCAGAAGGACAACATCAGCCTCTTCCACACCAGCAATTGTAGTATTAAGAAGATAATTGGAACGCAAATCTGTGCTAGAAATACAATATATAAAATGCAAATTTACTTTAAAACTATTACATACCAAGAATCCACAAAATATTCTCATTATCATCAAAGCTATGGCATTCCCAGACAAAGAGATTTCATGAAGTATTTCTAAATTAAATCAAAGTTTCGCGTATTTATTAATAACTGGATTCTCCTATCTCCCACAGCTCCTGGTTTGATTTTGGTCTATATGTGTTAACAAATTGGGGGGTATATTGGAGAATCTAGGTTGTCACATATTCACTGATGCCATAGATGTGGTTGTTTTATTCATAACTTGTAACTGAAAGAAAAAAAGAAAGCCTGGATCCTAGCTTCATATTTCTCACCCAGCTCCTGCAGTAGGGAAGACCTCTTCAGTGCATAAGCTGTCAGAGTCCACTCTATTAAGCAAATCTTTGAGAGCTACTAGGGCTTCAGCATCCACCAAGCCACCTGCAATTGCTGCCACATCCTTGCCTTGAAAACTCTGCAACTAGAAATGGATGGAAAGGGTTATCACCAAAAACTTACATTCAGCAAAGACCAAAATGAACTGTTCAGAAAATAAAAGGATAACCATTTTCAACTACCAAAAAAGTAACAAACTTCAGACTAAAAAGTTTTACACAATTAATCTAAAAGTGAGAAGCAGAAGAGGAGTATGTGGGGCCAATGCTAATAACACCAACTTGGAAGGAAGTTGTTTTATATTTAGGAACAAAGGGGCTTTAAAATGAGGTCTGGAGAACGAAGACTGTCGAGTTATAGTTACATTAAATGCAACCTCCCCTGAAGTATCTGCTATTCCCTCCAGCCCTTTGTCTATGTTGTCTTTCTCTGACCAGAAACTATTTCCTCCACTTTTGCTCTGGCAAGCTCCTATTCATTCTTACTTAGACTTGCTTAAAAGAATCACCTTCTCTAGGAAGGCATCTTGATACACTAATCCTGGTTAGGCATCCCTCTTATGTGCTCTCTCTCGTATCACTCTGTGTACAACCGCCCATAGCAGCATGTCATAATTGCTGAACTATGCAACTTTCTCTACTACAAGATTGTGTCAGTGGTCTTTATATCCCTGTATCTAGCAAAACATCTGGCAGATGTTTCTCAATAAATGTTTGTAAAATGGAACATTAATCATAATGTTGGTAAGAGCAAAGATGGGAAGAAACACACATTCCCTCTCTTCATGGCAAAGATGTTTCTTGAAAATCACAAACACTATTTATTCCATTATTTCAATTTTTTACCATTCCAGCTACACGAGAGAGTGCATCCTCCCAGGAGGTATAGGTTAAAAGCCCCTTTTCGTTTCTGACCATCGGCTGTGTAAGTCTCTGACGTTTTAGCCCATCATAGGCAAATCTAGAAAACAGAAATTACACCGTTTGTGGACTCTCTCTAAAGAGGCAATCATGATTTTCAAGATTAAAATCTACGAGAAATGTTATTTAGATACAGTATTGGACAAAGTGTCAAATAGAATAATAAATACCTAGAAATTTTTTTTAAAGAAATGAACTAATGAATGGATTATTTATGATCATCACCTAAAACTAAAATACCATCTAAAAGTTTGATTTCTTATTTAAATATATAAACTCTTACATTTAGCTTCTTTTCTCCAATGAACAAACTGAAATAGACTGAGAAAATATCTTTTAATTTCTCCATGTGGAAGGAAAAAGAGATCTTTCTCAAAGTTAATATAAAAGCCAGTGATAGATTTAGGACTTTTTCTTTTTCTTTCTTTTTTTTTTTTTTTTTGAGACAGAGTCTCCTCACTCACTCTGTCACCTTCTGCTGGAGTGGTGCAGTAAGATCATGACAGCTCACTGTAACCTTGAACTCCTGGGTCCAAAGGATTCTCCCACCTCAGCCTTCCCAGTAGCTTGAACTACAGGTATGTGCCACCATACCAGGCTAATTTTTAAAAAAATTTTTGTAGGGATAGGGTCTTGCTATGTTGCCCAGGCTGACCTAGGACTACTAAAGTCAGTTTTATCATATTTTCTATATAAACACCTCAGATTTCAATAGTCTATATTCATTAACTAATTTGCAAATTGCAAATATACGAGAGTTCTCTATAAAATTTCCTTTAAATCAATTGCAAAAGTTAAGGAAATTGGCCGGGCGCGGTGGCTCAC